AATGACTTTATCTGTACCTTAAACCTCCAGGACTAGTGTCCTCCTCCCCCCTCATCCTCATTTATTCCATTTTCCATCTAGCTGCGTCCCCTGTTTCTTCCAACTTCTCCTACAAAATATTCATTTTTTTTCTTATATGTATATATTTGAAATTAATGCGATGGTGGTAACTATGTGAGGTAATTAACAACCTGCGTGGCTTCACCGGTCTCTGCTGTCTTCTGCTTTGCTTCCTCTTTCTTTCCGGAGAAGAAATCCTTAGCCTTGCTAGCAGCATCAGCAGTAGAGTCTTTCAACTCTCTGAACTTACCAGCAGCATTATCCTTCCCTTCCCTTGCTTTCTCCACCATGTAATCCTTATACTCCTCAGCCTTCCCCATGGTAGCATCCTTCGCCTCCTTAGATTTCTCTGCTGCATGGTCCTTATACTCCCCTGCCTTCTGCATTGTGGTATCCTTCGCCTCCTTATTCTTCTCTGCACTATACTCCTTCGCCTGTCTCGCCTTTTCTGCAGCATAGTCACCATACTCCTCAGCCTTTCCCGCTGCAGCATCATATTTCTCCTTGGCCTTCTCAGGCCCTTGATTTGCATACTCTTTGGTTTTCTGTGTGGCAGAGCCAGCATACTCCTTAGCCTTTCTCGCGGTGGTATCTTTCGTCTCCTTAGCCTTCTCGGAAGCCTGGTTTGCTTTCTCAGCGGTGTAGTCTTTAGTCTCCTTTGCCTTTTGAGCCGCATTGTCACCATACTCCTCCATCTTCCTACCTGCTGTATCAGAAGTCTCCCGAACTTTCTCTTTGGCATAGACGGTGTATTCCTTAGCCTTTTCAGCCGTCGCATCTTTAGTCTCCCTGGTAGCATCCGCTGTGTCGTGGCTCTTTCCGACAACAGCTTCCTTAGCATGCTCGTATGTGCCCTGAACAGCCCTCAACACAGACCCAATAACACCAGGTCTCTCTTCTTGTTGTGGATGGACATCCATTTCCTCCTTATAGTCGGTTGTGCCTCCATATTCTCTCTCCCTATTGACGTCCCTAAGTTCCTCCGACGCTAGCCTCGCGGCGGCCTCCGCCCTTTCCTCCTTCGCTTCCCTCGACGCCATGGATCTTCTCTGATTTTCGCACTCAAAAACTGAAACTCTCGTGATTTTTCTTTCGGTTTATCTCTTTAGACGGTTTTATAGTTCTGAGATTAAACAAGCTGGTGGTTACATGCATTCTCTATAGAAGCGATTTCAATCTTCTGAAATTGACACTTGTACGTTAAATCTTCTAGTAGCTGCCACGTGGTGTCAGGTCATTGAAAGCAAACACGTGGCAGCCATGCTCAATATGGTGTGCTTATGAAAGTTCCATACGAAGACTGGTGATAGAAATTTCGGGACTATTGTGCTACCGATGGCCAACTTGGTTAAAGGTCTTGTTTCCACGTGTGCACTAGCTACCACGTGGTGGACTTACTGCTTCTATCCATGTGGACGTTTACTTATTTGAGACAAAAGTCAACAAAAACTGGAAATTTACTTTAAAAAAACATAAAAACCGAATTACTTGGAGGGAAAAATTTTATATTGAAAATATAATATATAAATATGTAAATATAAATAGGGTAATTTTATTTATTATTAATTAGTATTAGTTATATACAAGTTATATGTTTAAGAGTATATTTATAATTTTCCCATAGTATATATTAAGTTTAAATTGGGTGTTCATGTGAGTGGTAAAATCTTATATTAAGAATATAACATGTCAATCGGTTTTTAATTTGGTGCAAACGAAGTTCATATGTTAATTTTTACATTAAAAATAATTTGTAAAATAATTTTAAGGGTATATCTAAAATAAAGTATTTCTAAATTAATTTTTATGTATATCAAAATTAATTTTTTCTTAATCAATTTTAAGGACACACCCATACTCATACATTGACTTGTTGTATATAAAAAAATAATTTCTTTGGTAATAAAACTAAAATTTAAATCTAAACTTAATTTATAAGATCACATTTACTTATTAATATGTGCAATTAATAATAATAGTATAAAATATATATAACTTATAGATAAATTTTAACACTGAAATTTATTGAGGGACTATTTTCTCCCAACATTTTTTATGGTTATGGTAGATTGCGGACATTTTCTCACAACATTGGTTTTTTTTATCAAACGAATAATTTATACAACAATAATTGTCCTCCCTTTTTTTAAACTCCTTTCACTCATTCTAAAATTTAAAATTGATATCGTACGATGTTCACTAAAGGAGCTCACAACATTGTTTCAAAATTTCATGTCGAAGGTGGTCCACGTTAACACATCAAACCGTTATCAATACTTGATTCATCAATTGGGTACAGCATCAAGATCCTTACCAATTCTGATGTTGAGTCTTCTGAGCCAAATAGAGTGAAGTATCATATGAAACACATCGAACCGTTTGGGAGGAGTATTAGCCTGAAAATGCCTTCCCAACTGAACCACTCTCTTCTGCATTCTTATATACTGACTATCCGAAATACCCAAAAGTATTTTCTTCAGATTGGGGATGTCCTCCAGGGAAACAATAACTGCAAACATCTTCCAATTCAGAACATCACTGAACGGCGGCACGTAATTCTTCGAGATCAGCACCGGCACGCAGCCATTGTTCACTGACTCAACAATTCTGGGACTGCCAACCTCGTACCCGCTTGGGCAAAGACAGAACTTGCTGTTCCTCATTAGCTTGTGGTAAGAAACGCCCTTGGGTAGATAGTTATGAATCTGAATGTCTGGGTCCTTGTTCTCCCACTGCTTGAACACCAATGGCCTTACAGGGCCGTGGTTTCCTCCAGCGAAGAAGGCTAAGATTCTACGTTGCGACGGGGATGGCCCCCCAACAACGCTACCAAGCTCGCTTCTGCCAGGCATGAGATGGAGTCCTGGGATGGATGCGTCCTTCACGGGGTTGAATCGTTCGGAGGTGTTTGCATTGCACAGGACACGAATTGAGTTTTCACCCAAGAGTGGACTGTAAAAACTAGTGGTTGGTGCCTGAAATAAATTCACAAACACCTAATAAGCATACAATCATGTATTATAGCCCCATGAACTAGTGGCAGAGTTACTTGTACCCTTAATTACAAGTTTAAGATTTAATCCTTAATTTTGACTTATAAAAAAAAAAAAAAAAGCATACAATTTGGTCCTCCTGGTGGAGATATATAAATGTGGTGTCTGAAACATACCCAGTCATGGCAAGAGAGTATGAAATGGTCGGTGCCAAGACTCCTGTTGAAGTAGTGGTGTTTTCTGGCAATAACATTGACATAGTCTTGAACTAGGTTCCCTATGGCATCATAATAGTGTCCACGTTCCCATACATACTGTACCATCCTCGTTATGCTGTAGGGAAGGAAGAATACATGAGCTTTTTCAGGATCTTGGGTTTGGAAATGGATGTCCATCTGCATTTTGTGGATGAAAATTCCTTCAGTGGTGTACAGATGATAGCATGGACCGTCGTGGAACAATGGGGGATCCCCTTCTTTGTACACGAAGATCTTAAACCGTTTTTCCATCTCCAGATAGCTCCTGTATATATATTCCATTTCAAAGAAAGAAATTAAACAATATGAGAATGGAAATTAGAGATTGATGCATATGTTCTATAGCCAAATCCAGCGTTAAATAAGGCTCTTATAGCTATTAGAATAATGAATAATCCAATAAATTTAATAGAAGGGATTCAAATTAAAAATCTCAAATTTTAAACGTGTTCATAAAAAAAAAAAAAAAACTTCTTTGTATGTGGTAGCTAGGACTCCCTACTCTCATTTCTGCTTTTGTCACATCTGTTCTTTTGCATCGAATGGTCCTGTTTTGGGATAATTTTGAAGAAGCAAACAAATATGTCCTTTTCTTAGCAGAATATACCAGTACTAAGATAAACATTTTCAGTCCACACCAACCTTAATGGCACGTTTGGAATGCTGGAGAGGAGACGATTGGACAAGATTAAAATAATAAAATAAGATTGAAATAAATAATATTGATTATATGATATCTAATCTTATATTTGGAGTGTCGGCAGGATTGGATATAAATATATCTGTTCATGGATAGATATGTTTATGGACAAAACTACCCTGACAATGTAATATAACAATAATTTCAAATTTCTTTTACAATTGCAATTTTATTTCTTATAAATGCAAAATCAAAAAAATTGAATTAATTTAAAATAATTCAAACAATAATACAATTCTGATTTATTAATAAAATTAATTTTCGTTAACGATTTAAATTATTTAATAGTTATTTCTGACTTCAAATCACGGGTTAAATAAGATAAAAAATAAAAGATAAATTACCATGTAATTAAGATAAAAAAAACTAATTTTCATTAATTAACCGAACAAATTCTGTTTCTTTATTTAATTATTTAATTTATCAATTATTATTAAATACTTTTCTTTCTTTTCAATTTTTTTTTCTTGGAAACAAGCAGAAACCCGAATGCCTCCTTGGTCTTGCTATTGTTCATCTTCTTCAACAGGACTAGGGTACCTTTTTTCAGTCACAGGTTTTGGTATTTGACTTGATTTTGAGTTGGTTTCTTTGATTTCAACAAAAGATAGATTGAATTAGGATGAAGAAGTAAGGAAGCAATGTGCGAAATTACTAATAGCGAATCTTCCAATTTTTGCTGATAACGCGATCGGACCACCTTGCCAGAGATGAAGATGATCGGATTTTGCAGTCGATTTTTTGATGATTGGAGAGACTTTGTTTTCCCTGCACTAGAGCTGTGAAGCCGTCAAAGATATAGATCTAACCGGAGCTCCATTTTCTCAGACCAAAGTTAAGAAAAGGAGAGTCGAGCTATCAGGAAGAAAATAGTGAGAATAAAGGGGTAGAGTTGGTAAATTGAATCATCCCACCCCGCAATCTTTCCAGGCCTCCAAACGAGCAGTAAGTACCTAGTGAGGCTTGGATCTGGATTGAGTTGTGTTTCTCTGAAGCTAAATGGTAGGCTTTTGATATTCTGAACATTTCATATGCAACAAGGTGTTTTCTTTCAACATGGGTACTCGAAGTTTTGCACCTACTAGTCCAAACAAATACCTATGGAAGGTGTTTCCTATTTGAAGATTCAACCTTTATTTTTGAATTAAAAGAGAAATCGGGCAATTTACCTGTGAAAGGCCTTAGCATTCAAGTAGGACGGTCCAGTGGGGATGTAATCAGGATCCTGTACTCGACTTCCATTCATTGCTGCTCTAATGCCAGCTCGCGCTTGCTGGAGACCCATCTCAAGTCTGTCTAAATTAGTTCGTATTCGTACTCTTGGTCTTTTTGTATTCAGGGGACGATCCGGTGAATCCTTCATGGATGAACCAGTTGCGTTAATTTGACTGGCTTCATCTCTCTCATTCTGTTGAAGTAAGGTTGATTAATGTCACCAAGGAAATAAAGAATATGATCTAGATATAAAGAACAGAGGCAGAGGAATTGTAGGAAAAAAACAGGAAACAGAGAAAATGCTCTTACAAAATTCTGAACTTGCAAGGCCTCTGCAGCTACTGGCATGGAAGCCAAGTTGTTAGGCACAGCATCCTTTGAGTTAGCTTCTTCACTGCCACCGTTACCATCCACAATGTCTGGAGGCAAATCCAGTGCCTCTTCTCTCCTTTCAGAAATTGAAGGTGGTGTCTTTGCGGTAACCACATTGGTGTTTGAAACAGTAGATATCAAAGTCCAACTGGAGCTTTTTTGGGACAGAAGAGAAATTAAAGCCAAACCAAGTATTGATGGAAATATAAATAACAAAATTCTGAAGAATGATGAATCTGCCATTTCCCAGCTACAATGGCAGTTTGGAATAAGGAAGATTACATATATCAATATGAACTGCCACAAAGATCTTTTTCAAATCGCTTACAAAAAAACAAAAAAAGGTCATTTTCAACTCAGTGAGTGGACGCTACAGGGACGGGCCAACGAAGGACAAGGGGGGCAGCCGCCCCCCCTAAACTTTTGAAAAACATTTAATATAGTACTTCAACTTTTGTTTGTTAAAAATTTTGTTTTTATAGTATGAATTTCAAGGACCATTTTAAATGTAGAGAAAATATTTAAGATCTAAATAAAAATTTGGTTAAACCTCTAATTTAGTCCCTAAACTATTGTATGAACCTCTGATTTGATAATTAAACTAAAAAAATCCCTGATTTGATTCCTAAACTATTATACGAATATTTGATTTGGTTCATATTGGTCTTTTCGTACAAAAAATAACTTATGTGTCCATTATTTAATGGCAAAAAATAATAACTTAACGGTCACGTGTCACGTTAATAATAAGACATGTTAGCTTTTTTTGTATAGAAAGACCAACTTGGGATAAATTCGTAAACAGTAGGGACCAAATCGAGAATTCATACAATAGTTTAAGGATCAAATTAGGGATTTTTTTAGTTCAAGATAAAATTTGGGGTCTGTACAATAATTCAAGGACCAAATTGAAGATTTAACCTAAATTTTTTTCAAATCCATAAGGATATAATTCAAGTTAAATGAATTTAAGTCAATTAATTAATTAATAATTGGGGTTCTTAAATATTTTTTCATTTATTAAGCCAAAAAAAACTTTAATTATCTATTTAAATAATTTTAAATTTACAATTTTTTTAATATTCTTTTTATTTTTTTTAATATTTTATGTAAAAATTTAAAGTGTTTTTCTTTTGACATGGAATGAGGTACATTTTTAACTTCTATAATTAAATTTATAGTCTTTTATTTTTGTTAAATCAATTCAAATTAGAGTTTTTTTTTTGAAAAAAATATTTTAGTATTTTTTTAAAATATTAGTTTTTATCAATATGATCTCTAAAAACACTAAGAGAAATACACTTCAAAATTATATTATTTCAATAAAATTAAAACACTCTCATTTCAACTTTAAGAATATATTGTTTTTGTTTTTTCTAATTCAAAGTTTATTAAAACAATTTAATTTTATTGTGTTTTTACCCAAATTTATTAAAGATTCAACGAACAAACACATTTCTCTTTTTTTCTTCTTTCTTCAATTAATTATTGTAAAATTTATTACTATGATATTTTGTTTTTTATTATAATTAAAAAAATACAATTACTTCTAATTTTTGTTAAGAATATATCGATGAAAAATGTACAAGTAAATCTTTTTATAAGAGAAAAGATTTAAAGAAAATAAATAAGTTTGAATCCCATAACATATGAGTGGGATGAAATAAGAAATAAAAAATGATTGCTTTTCATTATACAATCAATATAAAAAAAAAATTAGTATAATAACTGATACTCTTGAAAACTTAAATCTTTAACAATAAATTCCGTCCCTGTAACCGTATTTCCTGGCCCCGTCCCTGGGACCATAATTTTTTGTCTTTTTGGTCCAGGGAAGAAAAACCAGTACATGAACCATAAATAAGTTTTCCAAATGTAATTAATGCATATAAATTCATTTTCTTCTTAATGATTTCTTATAGAAATTCAGGGAAGTATTCAGGTTTTACAGGGTCAAATAGTGTTAGTTGTGATTTTGCAATTTGCAGTCGTCTGCAATTGTAGAGTTACCAGTTTAAGAATAGTGATTTGCTTCTGCTGCCTGGTATACTTGGTTTTCAGTAAGCTCTGAAATATTATAACCCAAAATAACCTTGCTGCAACTTTTTCTAACATGATAGCCAGTCACGTTTTGATTCTATTATTTTTAGTATGTTATCCTATGTATCCACTTTTTTAATATTATATTATTATTATTATAAATTTATAATACCATGGTATATCATTTCCAATAAAAATGCATGTACATGTATCAAATAAATAAATAAATAAATAAATAAAGAGCTAAGATTATTGCTACTAAAAATTTTTTAAGACCATAAAATTTTAACTTTAATTTTATCAATTTATAATCTTTTTACTTAAACAGTTTGCTATAATATTTGGAAATAATTATTTATAAATTTATTTTAATTTATTAAATAATAAATATTAACTATTTTATCAGTTAATTATTTTTAACATAATTTGACAATTTTGATGATTTTAACAAATTTAATGGTGACTATAACCATAGACCGAAAAAAGCCACTGCAGAATCTTAATAAAATTTTTTTCTTCATTTGATGTAAAGAATCTAAGAGGAATTATTTGCTTATTAAACAAAAGACAGTACAAGTTACTGGCTACAATGAAGTTTTACAAGTTACAACAAAGGCCTAATTCTATCAACTTCAAAATAAACACA